AGGTGGAAGGATTGAAAAGGAAACTCACAAGAAAGTTTGCTCCACAGCAGCTTTGATCCTGCCCGGCTGGCAGGTACAATGGAAATACATGAAGACAGAGGAAGAACTTTGGTTTGTTCATTTTCAATTCTCCCAGATTGGAGAGTGCTGCTATATCCTTACTGCCCACCTCACATCACCAAATCAATGGTATGGCTTTGCTCTTTGTTACTCATCACTCTTTGGTATGATCTTCTCTCTTCTTTTATTATTTCTTGTGTCAGGAGTGTAAGAAGGTTCTCCTCCCTGAAAAACAATACTTTTGATTTTTCAAAGAATCTCAAGCTACTGGCAGTTCCATTGTTTGAGCTCTACAACAATGTACAGGTAAAAGAAGAAACACTTAATGATTGACACTCCTTTTCTTGTTTGCTTGTTTTGAGTTGCTGATGTGAGAATCGTTACTGCAGAGATATGGCCCTGTGATCTCCACCATCCCCTAGCATCTTTCAAGGTTCATCTTCAATGCCATTAACGGCTGAACTCTGCCAATCTGGGTAAATTTTTTTCTTCTTTTTTCTCCGTTTTGTAAAACTATTAACTTACTATGAATGGCTCCTTTTGTTTCAAAAGTTTTTCTTTTATATATAGAGACAACTACAACCCCCCCATCAAAAGCTCTTATCAACACTTATCAAGAGCTCAATAGAACGGCCTCAGTATGTACCAAGAAGAGTTGAGTATTAGTGAATGGAGAAAGAGCCTTTTAGTTTTCTTGTCAAAACTGTAATCAGTACTATCTTGTCTTACCTTGATAAAAGCACGATCTCGGCTCGTGAAGGAATCAGTAAAACTCTTCTTCAAAAGCAACGAGACCTGGACGGGATATGCGTCATTAGAAGCACGGATGATACAACAAGCCGGAGAGACTTACTCGGTCATTATTAGATTGAATGTTTGTGATCGTGTTAGCACGTACATCCGCGCATAGCGATTCTTAATAGCTTCTAAGAGTCTTCAAAAAGCCATCCGCTGCCTGTGCCTGTAATGCCGAAACAATCTCTCATTTAGTCGCACCAACCGGAGCAAACTACCTGTGATTCCGTGTACTTGTGGTCTGGATGTCTCTTTGCCTTAAAGTCTACAACCGCGAGCTCGGAGTGGTATGTTACCAGCTCTCTCTGTCTCGGTAACTGAGGCAAGTAAGAAATTGTCACCTGCGAAGGAAGCTTTCAGCTGGTCATGCGATTGCTAATGGTTTTTCCTTCTCTTGCAGTAGAAGGGCCACGAGAGACTTCTTGCTTCATTGCCGTGGCCAAGGCTTATGATAGGGGAACTCGCGGGCGATCAAAGAGGAGCCGCTCTCTCGCTAACACGCTGCTGGATATGTATGCCAGATGCGGGTGCAGGGATCGTGCTCACGAGATTTTTGATGGATTGGGTCTTCTGCTTGACAGTGCTAATCCTTGGATACGACCAGAACAAAGACAAGTTCGTCCGTGGGAAGTGGGTGAAGCTCTGGTGTCTGGAGGAGGGAAAACTTCTCCATGAGTTGGTCTTGAGGAATGGTCTCGAGGAGGATATCGGCTGAGAAGGTATGGCTCCTGATTCTAGGACTTTCATTGTGTGGGTAAAAACATGCACTTTTTTTCCAGGCAGCAAGTCTTCGGCCTTGAGGATTGGAGCGAGAATTTATTCATAGCTCATGGAGAGTGAATACAAGCGTGATATTTTGGTAGCAAGCACTATCATGAACATGTTTGCAAAGTGTGGGAGCATGGCCAGAGCATAGGATCCGTTCAACAAGATTGCGAAACCTTGCCTTTTGTCTTGGAACTCAATCATGATGGAGGTGTCGAAGGTAAGCGTGCTCTTGAGTTTTCCTATCAAATAGATGGAGGACTGACACTGGATGCTCATAGTTTTGTAACAGCTCTCAAAGCTTCCCCAAACTTGGCAACTGCTGCAACAAAAAAAGAGGTATCTGACGATGCTACGTTGCTTCTATGCATGGAAACATATCAGAGAAAAATACACAAAGAGTGAGAAAAAAATAACAAATAGCGAACAGAAAAATCAGCCAAATACTACCTTGTGTTTCTTTCAGCTGGATTTATCATAAGAGAATTGTAAACCGGAATGTTGAGCCCGAGGCCTCAGAGATGGGCGTCGTCACTAGCACGATTGGACAGACTATCACAAGTTTAAACATATCACATGACACACCAGTGAGAATCATTTCTTAGCCATTTAACGTTGAAGATTTTAGGGCTTATTTACAGCCAATGGCAGACGCTTTTGAGAGTCGCATCGATATTTTCTTGCGAATGCGGCCTATAGAAAAGAACTTGGCTTCGTACGAGGTGGACCATGATGACGGCAGGGTTAATTGGGTTGTTCCCAGGCAAGCTGCCACTGGAATGGTAAATCATCAGCGCGAGCGCTACAGCTTTACTTTCACTGGCATTTTGGATACGGATTGTAAGCAAGATTTGGTATTCGAAACTGTTGCTAGAAAGGTAAATCAGTTGCAGTTTAGCCACAGAAGTAGGCAAGTTGTCTTTGGGTTAGCAGCTCTTTCTATTAGAATCTGGAATGAAAACAGGCATGTTGGCCACAGGTGGTGCTTGGTGCCTTGGATGGTTTCAATGGCACAATATTTGCATACGGCCAGACCGGTTCAGGCAAGACTTATACAATCACCGGCGGGACTGAACGTTACGTTGATCGAGGAATTATTCCACGCGCAATTTCTCTTATTTATAGCGAGCTCGCAAACAGGAGTGATAATTGTTTCAGCATCCATTTCTCGTATATGGAGATTTATAATGAAACTGGCTATGACTTGCTTAACCCCGATCATGAAACAAAGTCATTGGAAGATCTTCCTAAGGTCCATTGCATAACTATTGTTTACCAGGCTTACTTGGTTTTTTAAGGTTGTCTTGCTGGAAGATGATGACACCCGTATTCATCTGCGAAACCTTTCCGCTCACCTTGCAATGTACGTTTTTGGACATAGCTATTCATGATATTCTTCTTACATTCTTAACAATTTAGGAATGAAGAGGAAGCCCTCAACCTGCTGTTCATGGGTGATACGAACAGAATGATCAGCTCGACACCAATGAACATGGCCAGTAGTCGCTCGCACTGTATTTTTACAGCGTGCATTGAAGCTCGAAAGACTGGTGAAGATGTTGTGAGAAAATCTAAGCTACATCTTGTTGATCTTGCTGGATCAGAACGAGTCAGTAAGACAGGAGTTGATGGTCAGGTAAGTCATCCCAGACGAATTATCTCACTAAACCTTGTTCATTTCTGTACAGATTTTAAGAGAGGCAAAGTATATTAACCTTTCTCTTCATTTCCTGGAGCAGGTATATTTTACTTTTAAGGTCAGATATATTTGACGTCAATTATGTAGGTTATTATAGCATTGCAAGAAAAAAGCCAGGGAAAGTCTAGAACACATATTCCGTATAGAAACTCGATGATGACATCAGTTCTTAGAGATTCTATAGGAGGAAATTGTCGAACGGTAAAATGGACTCCTTTCTTTTTGGACATACAGTTTTGCAGGTTATGATAGCCAATGTATCAATTGCGCAAGAGCAATTGGAGGAAACAATTTCGACTTGCCGCTTTGCACAACGAGTTGCCATGGTCTCAAACCAGGTGAGAAAAGTTGTCTGTACTTTGTGTTGACGATGAATACAGGTCATGTTGAACGAGGAAGTGGATCCCAATATCGTCATTAAAAGATTGAAACAAGAGGTTAAAGATCTTAAAGTAAGATAAAAAGACTGTTTGTAATAACGTTAAACAGGAACTGTCTTACTTTTCACAGGCTGAAGTAATGTTTCTAAGGGGTGAGGATGTTGATCGAGGGCCACTGACAGACGGAGAAATTGCTATGGTGAAAAATCAAGTTAATGCTTATGTGTATGACCTCTCGCCTGAAGCATCATTCAACTGTGGAGGTGTTCATACTTCACATGGTCATTTCAATATTTAATATTGACTTCAGGAAACATGCTACATATTCGAGCTGCATTTCAAGCTTTTAAAGAGCTTGCAACAGCTGGAGTTGCCGCAAAGAGGTGTTCTAATTTACAAGGCAATGGCGCACATATGGAAATGAGTGGTGGTTCGCCCCTTCATGAAACTATCCAGAATCTTAATCGTCAGGTTAATCTAACAAATTTTCATTTTCATTTTAAAAGATATCTTATATCCAGTTGCAACAACGAGAAAACGAGATTAACATTTTAGTTTCCTTCATAAGAAAGCGGGAAGCTGGCATTACGCGGGCAAATGCATGGACACAAGTTGATTCTATCCAGCTTTCAGGGCGGACAGATAGTAGAGATTCGGGATTTACACTGGATGGTACAGAGGATGGAATGATCCCTAGCAACACCTCCTCGAGGGTAGCAAGCTCCATGGATTCGAGAGACAATAGTAGCCTGTCTAGTTTTGCCAGTGATCGGAGACAAGCTTTTGATCTGTGAGCACTCTTTTTCTGAAAGTTAAACTGGCGCTCTTTATGTGTAGATTTTGGAGAAACTATCCAAGCATGGATGCTATTGAAGAAAACAAAGCACTTTTAAGAAAGAAGTACGGTGAAGCTAAGTTATTGGGCGAGGGGGCCAACAAAGCCCGTGAGGTATTTAACCTTTATTGAAGTGTATTAGAGGTTTGCCTTTTTCTTGGTTTAGATGATAAATGGTCTCAAAGTCAAGATTGAAAAACGTAGAGTTGAACGTGCAATGGAAGACCTCGTACATGGGAAAACTAGTATTTTACATGTCGATGTTGAAGAAGAAAACCTTATTTTACAAATTGAAAACGAAAAGGTATATAATTTAGCTGACACCAGGGTACTTTAAGTTGTTATGAAGCAGAAAACATATAAGGATGGGTTTAGCAAGCTGCGTGACCTGAAAAGAGAAATTGAGCATCTTCACTTGATTCTTGAACAGAGCCGAAGTAAAGTCCAGGCGAGTTTCCTAAGCATTACATTGTTTGAACTTAATTAATGTGGTCCTAACAGGCTGATTTTGAAAAGTGGTTCAGTGCAATGTGTCGTGATCAGCAGTCTTCTGCACCATCTCCTATCTCTTTGACGTCTGCTTCTGATTTATCAACAATAGATACATACCAAACTGAGAAAAATCGGTCGTTTAGAAGCACACCGGAGACGAGTGAATATTATTCAAGTGTAACTAAAAATGCTCCTGCGGTTATTGACTATCTACACGGCTTGGAGGCTGACATTGAAAAACCGCTACGCTCTGGTAATGTCTTTAAAAACAGTAACGTCATCTTTCTTCTCCTATTCCGTTCAGGGAGATCCAGAAACTCACACGGCCGAGCCAATGGAAATGAATCAATTATGCGTACAGGGAATGAGAGCACTGATGCTGATATCAAAGCATTTTATAAAGCCAGGTCTGAGATTATGAAGCTTAAACAGCAACAACAGCAAAGACAATGTAACAATCTATTACATGACTAAAATAAAAACACGTCAGGAAAGAATGAGGAAATTTATTCCACTAAATCACTATTATAAAGAAAAAGTATTGAAAAACTGTATGATTCCTTATGTTGCTTAGCATTTTTCGGGAATGGAGCCCTCTAAGGTTTCTTTGTCTCTAAGAGCTTATTGCTCGTCTTGTGTTTCAAGGTTTGCCCACTGTGAGGAGGTTAATGGGACCAGAGAAAACTAAATTGCACTGCATGCATGTAGGAGTAGCATCCCTTGCTCCTGTGAGTGGGCTGTAAACACACGTGTATATACACATAAACCCTAGACCTGCTCCAGTTCCAGAAGAAGACCCATCCCTCCCAAGGGTGGTGACTTGCTGGATGGAACCTTGGCTTGGTTTCTTCATGGCTGCAGTAGCAAGGTCTACGAAACTGATCCGGTTTGGCTATGCCTTTTGTTTGCTTTCTGTAAGTGTGTACCTCTAGCTCGGCTTGGCGCATCTGTTTTCTTCCTCTTTTCTCAAGACCAATTTGAGACACGAAATCACAGACATCATGTACGGTCATGTATGATTGAAAACCCAGCAGTATCAAAAAGCTCTATAAACTAAACTATAAGGATTCAAGTGATCACAAAAGGAAAAGAAAGAGTACACATTTCTCAGTGGACACCGGGGAGAGAGCAGCAAACTGGACAAGAGTTCTTTTTACATTGTAGGCACAGGCCGGTTTTCTTGAAGACTCGTAGAAGCTATTTAGAATCACTATACGCAGATGTAGGCACTCACATGGTCATAAAAGTTTAATCTAAAAATGAGCACAAGAATCACAATTTTAAAAATTAAAAGAAAAATATAAGCTTTTTCTCCTGGTGGTAATTCTCAGATGTTCGCTGATACTCAACTCTTCTTGGTACATACTGAGGCCGTTCTATTGAACTTTTGATAACTGTACATTGGCAGGTTTGTTTTTTTCTCTTTCTCTTTTGATTCCATCACACTTTAATACAGCTGTGAGAGTGTATCTAAATATCAACGACAAAACGTTTGAAACAATAAAGATCCACTCATATTAAGTTAATAGAGAAAAATATGAAAAAATAAGAAAAATAAAAAGAAAGAATGGAACTGCCAGTAGTATGAAATTCTCTGGAACAACAAAGTATTGTCTTTCAGGGAGGAGAACCACACAGAACTTCTTACACTCCTGACATGAGAAATAATATTAGAAAAGAGAAGATTGTACCAAAGAGTTATGAATAACGAAAAACAAAAATCGATACCTTTGGTTTGGTGATGTGAGGAGGGCAGTAAGAATACGTCAGCCTCCTGTACTAAACCGCCACAAACTCCTCAAACTGGAAGAAATGGAAACAAACAAAACCAAACTTCTTTCTTTATATCTTTGTGTATTTCCATCATACCTGTCAACTGGGCTGGATTGAAGCTAGGAACCTTGCTCATGAGCTTCCTCTTCAATCCTTCCACCTCTGAAAGAAATTGTTTTTTACCTTCTTTCTCCAGACTGGAGTCTTCATGAAGCTTGAAAAACGTATTCCTTTGCTTGTACACCACAAGATCTTTTTCCCTGTCCCTCGCACCAACCTCCTCACCGATGTATGTACATGTGACCGTTCATACTGGTGGAGAATTCTTGCCCAGCCTTGAGTGCATCTCACTAGTGATGCTGCTACTGCTGCCATGATTCTTCCGACTTACCTGTAGCATGAAATCGGTTCTATACTTAGGACTTCCAGACAGCTGTTAATATACTACAATTAAAAGCTGTGACAGAGAAACATACCCCAACCGAAGAACTTCAGCTCTGATAGCAAAACATAAAAAGCACGATGATTTCCTGTATCCCAAAATATTCACTGACTTTCTCTGAAACAAATAGAGGTCCCACTCTGTAATCACGAAGAAAAGATGGCTGTAAAAGCTGCAAACATCCTAAAAATCCTAAAATATAATGATGTTAAACAATATAGATTTAAAACTCACTACAACTACATACATCTTGTAAATTTACAAAATAAAACATTTTTATAGTGTTGTATTTTATTTTAATAACTTATAATAATGTAGAGATTTATCTTTGATATTACCATTTATCCTAATATTTATATTCATGCATTTTAATATTAATATTTAAAATTAGAAGTATTCTATCTTTTATCATAAACATTCTTTATGTATATATTTTTATATAGACAGAATTATAATTTTAAATAATATTATTATCTATATATATTAATGTAATTATAATTCAATAATTTGAGCCTGCTCCTCAGCCCTTTTCAGCACCATGGCTAGATGCTTCGCCTTCTACCTTTTAGGCAAAACTTTAATTCTTCCTAAAACAAAACCATCAAGGCACATTCTGAGCTCTAGTCATTGACTCTCAGTTCTTGCTCCTTTTCATTTTGTTTCTGCCAGAACATGTGCAAGAGCACGAAGCTTGGTGTTGAGCCATGGATATCCTTGAACGTCAACTGTAGGTAAGAGTATCGTACAATGCAATAAATTAGACTAAAATAAATAAAACTTTTGTCCATAAAATTAAAGTGTCACTACACCAGATATTCTGGCAATGGCTGCAGAAACATCATCATATCTAGGGGGAAGAAAATAGAAGAAATACAATATGGGGTTTCTCAAATTCTCGTTCACAGCTAATCTATATGCAATTGCAAGATCTCAACACCTGCAGGGAAGGGAAAAAATTGAGAAGACAGAGAGAGATGTCAATACTTTATGGATCAATGTGGTCAATAACTGATAAAAACAAAATCATTTTACACAAGAAATAGCAAGAACTATTAATTCCTCTATTTTAAATTAGAATATATCATATTTTTATAGACACTATTTGCTCTATTTATTCTAATTTAAAAGAATTTTATATTTTCTTAAATAAATTGAGTATTTTTTAAAATTTATTTAAAAAATTCTCTATAAATAAAAAGTAATTTTGTTTTAGTAATTTAGTAATTTTTTGTATATTTGTATTTGAAATCCTCTCCCTTCATAATATTTATATTTATACTTTTTTGAGTAGTAATGAAAATTTAGAGTATTATATTATATATCATTACAATTCTTTCAGAATATATATTTTTTTGAATTAAGATTAATATCTCTATGTTTTATTTAATTTTATTTAAATTTCTAGCATTATAAGAATGTTATTGAGGCTAAAATCTTTCAATAAAAGATAAGGTTTTACTCTGATATTAGGGTATTGATGAAACAAAATATTTTTTTTAAACCATAACATATTGGAAAAATTAAGAATGGTTCATATATTTATTTAATAATAATAAAAGTTTTAGTGATAATGAATGACATTTTTTTAGATGGTAGCCTTTTGTATTGTGTCTAATGTTGTCTCAATCATATTTTTACCTTTACATCAATATAAGTTTTTATATGTTTTTCATGTTTGAATGACCAAATTATTAGTCTTAAAAACAGTATTATAACTTTATGGTATCACACAAATCTTACAGTATATCTGAGGTAACTGAATACTCAATGTGATTAGATTCATTGATGAATATGTAATAATTATCATAAGGTTATTTTCAAAAATATAACTAATTTACAAGTTAAAATAGCTGGAGCTATTCAACTCTTCTATTTTAACTTATGAAATATTTCATGTTCTATAGTCTGTACTTATTTAATTTAACATTATAGTATATTTTTTATGTGTCTGCTATATACCATCTTTATACAACAAAATTACTTTTAATTTTATAAATGAAGAATGATGATGCTGAGATTCCAGCTCTGCTGGAAATTATAGATTAAAATAAATATCAAAAAATTCCAAATGAAAATTTAATTATATTTTAGTGATTTTTTAGATATTACAATAATTCTTTAAATGAATATTTTTTAAAATTTTATGGTATAGTTTTAAAAATCTATATGAGTAATGGAGAGGGTAGTTTTTGGAATAATGTTTAGTGCTAAAAAGTTTAAAGCATTTTAAGAGCATAAGAATAAGTCTAATACTATTTAAAACTTTTTATAAGAAATAAGAAAACAGAGGATACCAATAATTATTAATTAAAAGTTACTCTTTTATATTTTTTATTTGCAGAGATTATATTGAGTCTATGCATGAAATGGAAGCCCACTTTCATTCAAGCATAAAGCAATTTTTAATTATAGTGTAAAGTTTGTGTGTATTTAGAGGAAAAATGTGCTCCACCAAGGAGAATAACATCAATTTACAGGTAAAGAGTATATTTGTTCTGAAAGAGTAGGATTATTTTGGTTTACCCATTATCAGAGAAATTAAAGTAGGTTCTGATTTACTAGGAATGTGGTTTAGCTTTTAAAGTTTCTACAGATAGGTGATTGTCCATTACATTTCATAAAAGGGCTTTTGGAAACATTGAGTGAAAGTGACGTCCTCTTGACATGATAATAGTTTGATGTTTCTTTCTGGAGCCTCCTATAAGGAACTCTCAGCTTATCCGAACCTAATACTTATGTTAGCACTTGAGCTCTTAATGTTTCTAGAGGATTCTCATGCAACTAAATTCAACAGGTGGTAAAGATCATATGGAGAAATGGCTGTATACCTTTAGATCAGTGATAGACCTTGCTATGATAATAATCCATGTCATCATTGACATGTTTGGTCCTTCTTCTTGTGGTGCTGCATCGATCTCAACCCAGTGAGAGTTCCTTTGCCACCAGCGGCAGTGGCAGTGGTGATGATGTAGGGGACTTGCTGCACCAGCATGTATAGCACCATGGACATGAAGTATCACGCAGCTGGTGACAATGTTGATGATTTACCTAGGAGTGAAGAGGATGGTGTTGTGGTGTAGGGTTTGTTGTACTCATCCACCACCGTCATGCTGTGGTTGGCTATGGAAAAGAAGAGTTCCATGTTGAGAGGTGGAGGAGGTATCTCTTGGTGGCATACTCCTTTCGCAGGTCGATAAACTAACAGTTAGTTTATGGGTTTAGTTTGGTCCTTTTGCAATCTCCTCAGTGCCGCCTTCTTGGCTACATGCATCTCAAATCATCGCTCTCAGTTGCTTCAACAAGGCATTTGTAAAGATGAGGCCACCAGACAGGTCTTTGGGAATTGCGGCATTTTCAATGTACTCGACCTGTGGCATGCCAGTAAGCTGGAAATCAACGACAAGGGGAGAATACTAACTTACTTGATGCATGTAAAGTGTGACTGCGATGTTGATCTGATTCAAGGCAGTCTGCTTCTATTTCTGAAACTCCCGCTCATGTTTGATTGTCTCG